TACAGTGCAACACAATGCGAGCCTTTGTAGAAGCCTTTGCCGAGGCCGTAGCCGTTCTTGCCGCCCTTGTCGTCTCCTATATTGATTGCGCACACAAGGCACGCAGATGGGCTGATGGGCAGACACCAGACACCTCACTTCCAAACATCTTCATACATGTCATGAGAGTGCCGTCCTTTGTACCCGCCCTTGCCTTGGCACCAGACTTGCACAGCTTCACAAAGACTGAACTGCAACACATTGAAAGACAACTACTGCACTGCATTCGTCGAGGTGCTGCTCATCCGCCCCTTTCCGTTCATCAAGTCAGAGCGTCTACCTCACACACATACCGCATACCACAAGGCCGCTAAGCTGAACCCAACGATGACACCTCCTGCAAGACGCTCGTTTCCAAGTTCCAGACGTGGGCCACGGTCTGCTAAAGACCAGCTGAGCGCGGCAAGATACTCATGTCAATGGTTTGACTCCGGTCTCACTGCTAGATGTGAACAGATCTACATAACGTGAACCACGTATCCTATACAGGTCTGCATGATTCACGCCAGCAACAAAATTTGGCCAGAAGCCAACAGCAAGCGTATGCATCTGCAGCACAAGCAAGAGTCTGAGGCCAACACCCGTGGTCTCGCTCTCTCAACTTGTCATCGCCATGGCCATGGCCATGATTCTGGCCATAGCCGCCATAGCCCCTGTAATCCTCGCAGGCCCCGCCCGCTAAAACATTGAAACAGGAAATTCCATGATAGTCGGCAGACATGCTGCAACACCAAGGGAGTGAGCATACGTTTGGTTGCAGGATAGTCCTGGGCATAGGTCTCTGGCACCTTGTCTGCGCCGCCACGCCTGGCTCAACAACACAGTAAAGCAGCATCTGTTGACAGAGACTTCTGACTTGAAAGGCGCTGTTTTCACAAAACTTCTTCGTACAAACAGGGCTTTTTAGCTCAAACTGCCATGCTCAGCTTGAAGTGTTTATGCGAATAGTCGTTTCTTCCTGGCCTCCGTCGGTCGCGTCCACCTCGACTGCGACCTGAGGTTCTACGGTCAATTCCGGTGATCGGGCAGAGCAGTACTTTTAGCCTAATGATGCGAGCTGCGGCCCGACTTTTAAATTGAAGCAAAACAGGCCCCTGCGAAAGAAACAGCACCGCTGCAAGGCTGATAAAGATATCTACGTGAAGTTCGGAGACCGGTCCCTTATGTCAAACCTCAATTTCCGTTAAATCAGCCCGCAGTCTCCCAGAGCACAAACTCCAATGATCGACCTACACTGGATACGAAAAATCCTGCAGGACCCTGACATCTTATGTGTTGGGAATTATAATACTATAGTGTAGTAAGGTCAGGCAGGGTTTTTGTATCAACAGTAAGTCCATGCCCTGACTGAGCGCAACACGGTCTGACTCTGCCTAGGCTCATGGCTTCAACCCTCACCTACCACCTGGCAAAAGTTTCAGAATACTATGCAGACTACTTTCCGCTTAATTGTCCACTGTCTTCTCCATGTCATTCTCCATTCGTGGTGTAATGTCCCTATGTAACCCAGCATATATATATATATACGTATACATAAATACATATATACATATATTATATACATATATACATACATACATATATACATATATACATATATACATATATACATATGTACATATACATATATATATATGTATTTTGTATATGTTCATCTCACCGTCCACTTGTTTTCCATTTAGTTCTCAATTAGTGGCAAAAAATCAGCCCCTAATTCAAGCTTCTACAGCTACTGTGCTAGACTATATGATACTACATGACAGCGTATGATACTATATTATACTATACGTTCTTAGACTACAGTCCCCCTCAACTAGATAGAATATGGGGTATGTGGGGATCTTATTGTAAGATACCCAAAGTCATTTTCTATCTACTTAAGGGGGACCATAACCCCAACATATGCCATATTATACTATAGTAATTTCCATTTTCTTTTCCATATAACCACAATAATATATCCCATATTCTATCTAGTTCAGGGGGACTATAACCCTATGTGAAACTCTACGAAAGGCATCCTGATTCATCTTGCTGAGCCTCCTGCTGGAGGCAGTGGCTTTACGGGCGGCCACCTCATGCAATTGCCATAGTATATAGGGATAATGGGTATGATGGGATAATAGAAAAGAAAATGGAAACTACAATTTTATTTGGGGGTTATATAGGGGATATACATATATAATAGGATTTATGGTATACATGTCTGGTAGTACTTTAGTGCCCCAAAGTATGTTGATGAATCGGGCTCCTGATAAAACAATGCGGGAAGTAATGATTATTCCAAAGCGCCACCCAGATCCTCAGGGAACATGCAATTACATCACAGAGCGCAGCTTCACTATTAAAGGACTTGCTCAAATGAGAGCTTTGAGGACAAACTAGTAGCGATTCGAAAGCACTACAAACAGGGACCCGCACTGCACAGCAGGCTCAATGGGCTTGTCATCCTGCGAGGCAAACAAATTCACGCCAATTGACTACGTTAATCTGCCACTCGAGTGCGACGTCGTTGTACAGTACAAGCATTCAGAATACAACCCTATTATAGTACTTTCAATTTCCTTTTCCATTTTCCCGATATAACCCCAATATACTATAGTAGTTTCCATTTTCTTGTCCATTATCCCTAAACCCTGGCCCTATAAAACCCAATGATCTCGAACCCGCCGCTGGCCCGGGTCGTCTGATACAGAGGGTACAAGGAAGGCTGTGTTTGCGTAGTCAAGCTGAATCCACTTCAGTGATCAGGTTGTCATGTGTAGCACGCTGCATGATGAAGATAATCCTTTCCCGCCGATCCCATTCGCCAGACATCACAGCAGGGTCTGACATGGTTGATGTGCTGATCACCGGCTGAAGCTTCCCCCGTTCTTCACAACAATGCTTTCTATGAGGCGGTAGTTTGCTCACGGGTCCTTTTTTTGTAATCTCAGGATCAAATTGGGTACCAGCGATCCCTTGAGAGTCGACGAAACCTGTTACACCGTCGCAGGCAGCTTTCTGTCTTCTTTGCCTTCGCTCCTCCCCTTCGCCTCCTCTCCTCATCTTCTTCTACTTTCGTCTAGTGGCTCCACCGGTCCTCGTTAGCCAGGCCCAGCATGCCTGGCCTACGAGCAGGGTACAGGATGGAAGGGCATTAGGCCCCCTTGCAAACAAAATCCAGAAATGCTCGTGGCTAAAATCCAGAAGCCTCTTCGAGGCAGCTTCCCTGACGCGTTGCTCCTGGGCGGGGCTGCCTACATGAACCCTGTGTGCAGGCAAACATGAACACCTCAGTCAAGCGAGCTGGCTAGTAGCCCGTCCTCATCATCGGCACCGGGATCCGGAAGTTCTGCAAGCGCATCCTGCTCTGCCCCCCTGCCAGGCAAGATAATCACAAGGAGGTTTGGTGCTGCAGTTGTCTCTCACACACACAGTGGTGTTTGGGCGGGGACTGCCCGCAAGGCAGCGACCAGGCATTCAAGCGCATCCCGCTCTTCACGATGGCCGTGACTTGTTGGACATGTTTTGAGACCACTTGAGTGCAGTCAAAGGGGCACTTTCCAGAAGAAGGGCTCAGAGGACATTGTCCGCGGCACTGTGGCTTGCCTCTGAGCACTCTTGCCACACTTCAACACCAGAAGACGAACTAAGACGGCCTCACGACCTCGAGGTCCACTGAGGCGCTGCCGCCTGCAGGAAGAGGCATTAACGCAGCGAACAAGACTCCTGGAGTACCACGCCTGGGGGGGGGGTTTGGAAGGTTGCCAGCATAAGATTGAGCCAGCAAATGCAGTGAATCATTGTCAGAAGCAAGGAAGAAACCTCGCAACTTGAGTAATCGTCAGCTCTCCTTGGCCGCAATACTAGCCCAGGTTGCACATGATGCAGGCAGCGCAACATGATTAGCTTTCCTTTTCTGTCGGGAGAAATTTAGGACCTTTGGTCCTCTGCTTAATCTGACCGCTTGATGCGGACTGGCCAACGTGTTTTGAACAAACACAGCCAGTTTCTTGAATCGCGTCATCTCATGAGGAGGCCTTCGAAACTACGCTGGAGCGGAGCTTACGTGAGCTTTACTTGCTCACCTTGTGAGTTGACTAGGACGCGTTCCAAACACAGCTGGCACTTCAAGTACTCACTGTACACACAGTTGGCATAAACTCATTGAACTCAGGACCGCCTGCCAGCCCTTGCTGACCTGGCATAGGATCGGCAAAAGGTCCCTTTTCACTTTCAGGCTTTTTCATGCTGACCAGCTCTGCATTCCGTCCTGGAGTCCTAGCATTCTACGCGCCTGGCGCCAGCGCGCTCTCGTGGGCCGCCTCTGCAATAAAAGCCCTCCCGTTTGTTGGAAGCGGCTGCTACGACACCGGTCTGCATCCCGCCTCTGACGGCTCTGACACGCTTTTTTCGGGCCTTCGAGCTCAACAGATGCAACTGCAACTAGGAGACAAACCGCGGAGAAGATTTATGCTACTGAAAGGTACGCAAAGCTGAGTCCCAGCGGCACGATCATTAACAACATGTTAAGTGCGCTTGCGCTAGGCATTGGCCATGTTCTTCAGGTCTCTGCGGGCTTCTTCTCCTCTACGCAGATGCCGACCGCCAGCCCGCACTCGTCGCGAAAGACCCGCATGAGCCTGACAAGAAGTTCTGGCCAAACTCTGCCTTGCCAGGCAGTCTGCATGCAACGGCTGCCACAAGCTCTCCGCTGATATTTCCGACTTTGGGCTGGAGTGACAAGCTCCGAAGAAGGAGAGCGTGTTCTTTGAACACGGCAGTGCATTAGCAAAGGCGGCATGCCTACGGTTTGTGTACAAAGCCTGGAATTCAAAGCAATACGGGATTTTGGAAAGAGCAATCGAGCCACCATAGAACAAATTGTCTCCGAATGCTGCGTACTTTACTGTACTTCCCAATCTCTGCTCTGCCAGGCGCGGCTGTGCCAATGACATGATGAACCCATTGCCTCTTCGCTAGATCTTCCCCTGGTACGGATTCAGAGACACGTGATGTGCAAGTGGCTTTGAGGAGGTTCCCTCATCATCAGATTCGGGATGACGGTAGGTCAGCAGCTTTCTCTTTCCGAAGGTGCGACCCCGACAGTCCTGCAATCGCAGCCCACATTCATGCAGTATGATCGTCAAAGCTACATACTTGACTGAACGTACGTCTTTGCACCTTCCAGTCAGGCAGCACTAGCCCATCCTCCCAAGCCCTGCACACTCTGTGCTCTACTGGCATGCGGCTTTGAGTCCCTGTCCTTCCAAATCAGATCAGCACCGTTGGCCAGCAACTCCTCGATGCAACCACAAGAAGGCCAAACATGTTAAATCCTTTCATGCTAAAATGCGATGCCAGCAGAGATCCAAGACATTCGAAGCAAGGAACCGAAAGCTTCTGGTCGACTGGAATGGGAGCCCAGAAATCCGGCTTCCTCGGCAAGGAGTTGACTTCGAGCTGTACTGTCGTACATACCCATAGACCTCCATTGACTCCAAGGTCGCGGCAGTTGGCCCAGCTTTACTTTGGCCTGGCCATGTTCCCGTGCATCTCACACCCGCGCCCCTTCCTCACCAGCACCTCCACGGGAGCAGGAAAGCCATGTCGGTACAGCATCTTCAGAACGGCCTCGCATTGCGTTTGGATCTCATGGGGTGCCACGGCAACAAGCAGCAAATTGACTTCATCTTATGACTTATGACTCTCAAGTTCTTGCTGGATACCACTGCAGGCCAAGCTCTGCAACTAGGTGCCTGCTTAAACCTTCTGCGGGATACCCTTTTTCTGGCGAAGCCCAGGAGCCACAACTGACCAGCCTTTTGGTGCTCACGGTCCTGCATAACACTGCACACATGGCTGGCCCACAACCATCGTTTCGATTGGAGCTACACATCAACCTTCGAGGACTGATCTTTTGCGCATCTGTAGTAACATGGCGAACATCCTCGTTCAAACCACTGCTCAGTATATAGGGGTAATATTGGGATAATGGAAGCTACTATAGTATATTGGGGTTATGTTGGGATGATGGAAAGAAAATGGAAACTACTATATAGTATATATGGAATTATTGAGGCTAGGAAACTCCTAGCTAGCTTCAGGAAGGCTTGGAGCTTAAGTCTTGTAAGATTACCTAAAAAGTAGTTTCCATGTTCTTGTGCGTTATCCCTGTATATGACCCCACATTAACCCTTATACAACCCCTATACAACCCCTATGTAGTATAACCCTTATATAACCCCTATATAACACCTAAATAACCTGTATATAACCCCTACATAACCCCTAAATGTATTGTGCTTGGCGTTACAAGGTGCCCGCTCCTGGTCACCGTACCTGGCCCAGCTTGCTAAGGATCGGCCAGACTCGTCCCGGATGTTCACGTCGCACTGCCAGATATTATATAAGGATATAGGGGTAGTGCACCGGGGTATTATAGGTATTTTATAGCTATATATATATATATGTTTTATGGGCCTTTTTCTCCAAGGCTGGAAATCCTATGTAGGGTTTAGGGTTTAATCCACCAAAAAAAATGAGGCCTCTGGAGGTTTTGGAGCTCCCAAGGTCCTAAAATGCTGAGAGGCCTCAATCGTTTTGATTTTGGGTACCTTCTCCCAAGACCTCCAAAAGATTGAGTCCCAAGACCTCCAAAAGATTGAGTGGTTTGAGTCCTGTGGAGCCTCCCAGCATTTTTGCATCAAAATCACAAAAAAATTGAGGCCTCTCAGCATTTTGGGACTGCGGGAGCTCCAAAACCTCGTGAAGCCTCAATTTTTTGTGGTTCAAGACTTCAAAGGATTGAGGCCTTTCAGCATTTTGGAACTCATGTCCATTTTGCTACACCTCGCCCTGACCAACCTTTTCACCTCTTTTGAGGAAAAAGGTAATGGGGGGGTATCATAACTATCTATATATATATATATGTTCTTAAAAAGGTGGGTCTTGGGGGGAGGTTTATATAGGGGATGTATAGGGTTTAGGGTTTCCCACCATCAAGGTTAACTTTTTAGGGGTCTCCATAATAAGGATCATCGTATTTACGGGCCTATACTGAGGTTCCCTTATTTTGGGAAACTACCATATCGAGAAGCTGGCCAACTGCTGCGAACTGCGGATCTCAGATGGCACTCTGTTCCCTTTCTTCTGCTACAAACTATCTAAAGATGAGAGCCATTTCGGAGCCCAGGTGTCTGCATGACGCGGCCTAGCTATGGCCAGCTTCACAACGAACAACGAGACAGCAGCTACCCACCCTTTGAGCTCAGGGGTCTCTGCTAACACGCTTAGGAGCATGGGAAAGAATAGGGCACATGTATAAAAAAAGCAGTCTCTTCCTTTTAGGTCTTAACCAAGACTGTAAGCACCGCCGTTTAGAACGGTTCCAGCCTGCCTGGGCGTGTATCAAAGCTCTCATGACCTGTGCTACTTCAGCGAGCAGCAGCACGCATCACAATATCGCACCTGGAAATACGTGGAACAGCACCAACAAAAGATCCAAAAAGCTGCAGCAAGCTCAGACGCGGGCATCAAAGTCACAGTAGAAGGCAGCAAAAAAGATTGGAGGCCACCCTGCGCAGAGGCATCAAATACTTACTAAGAGCAATAGATTCTTATCAGATGTGTAGTTTACATTTTCTTTTGCACTAGCCCAATATAACCCCAATGTACTACATAGTAGTTTCCATTTCCTTTTCCAGTATCCCTATATGACCTCAATGCTTGAGCACCCCCGAGGCCCCCCCCCAGAAGAAGCCTGATACAAGCCTATTGGAGCTAAGTCTTGTAAAATGAACAGCACATGAAGCCGTCACGTCGGCAAGCCTGCCGGAAGGGTAGCCTAAACCCCAAACCCCAAATCCTAAAACCTAGACCCTAAAACCCTACACCCTAAACCCTAGTGGGGCTTCACCCCTCTTCTGTGAGTGGACAGTGGGCCTCGCCTCCTGGACCAAGGGCGTTCATGTCAGCGGAGTTCTCCAGCAAGGCCTTAGGCTATGCGCGAGGCACTCAATTGGCAGGTTCCAAACCACAGGATGAACCAGAGTCATGCGGATGGATGTGGTAAGGGGGGCCTTGCCCTGTCCATGAGTCTGTGATGTTTTTCTGAAGCCTGTGGGAGGTTTACACTTCGTACAGCTATGTAGATGGTACTCCGTGGGATCCCAACCTGATGCAAGAAGCCAACAAGACATCAGGGCCCCGGCGGATGCGACAGCCGTCGCCTCCTGCATGCCAGAACTACACTTTAGCCCGCATAAAAACCCTATAACCATAGTAGTTTGCATGTGATGTTCCATTATTCCTACAAACACTACAGGCTGCACAATGCTTATATAACCCCTAAATAATCACCATAATCCCTATAGTATAAATTGTCTTTTCTATTATCCCTATATTACACCAATATACTATAGTAGTCTCCATTTTCTTTTCCATTATCCCAGTATACGAGCCAGCTCCAGTAGTCTTTCTTTCAGGCAGCTGGCTGCAAGCAATGTCAGGACGAGCCAACACAACTTATCTTCACTGAGATGGAAGCTACCTGACCTGGCATCTTCCACAGCAGAAAGCCTTTCAAATCTAGACTTCTACAAGGGTGCAAGTCTCTTCCGCAGCCCATGCTGAGATCGCAGGAATGAATAGGCTTCGGCTTCACGGGTCACCTTGTTTGTGTGGATGTGTCTTTCGTAACTTATCCCAGGCTCCTTGCGTCCATGTCGGTGGACAGTGTGTAGTTCATCACGAGCTGGCGCAAACACGCTGAGGCATGTTCGTGAAGATTCATGTTGCGCGCTTTCAGTTGAATGCTGGGAGCTTTACCACTTTACATAAGACTGCCTGCCCGGCCCTGCACCCAAGCTGAAAAGCTTCTGGAAAGGGATGAGGCCGCCGCTATCTGCAATACAGCACCTCCAGGGTTGTAGATGCAAGGCGCTTGCCCATCACAGCCCCACCGTTTTGTGTGTACACATAGCAGCACACCTGTCGAACAGCCAAGTGGAACTCATTAGAGAAGGCTTGGCACCAATCCCACAAGTCAACCCCAAAAGGTCATCTCAATTTACGAGGACAAACTCTTGATACCACGCCCTGGCTTTTCCAACTGCATGTGGGTACAGGTAGCCATCTCCTGCATACATGCCGAGATTGTTTTCTGTGCAAGCAGGTGGCAGCATCAATGGCGACATCCCCAGCTCATCTCGGATATTGGCAGAAATACCTCAGCAACCACGGGTGGTTGTCAAAATTATGGTCCCTTTTTGGGTCCCTATTATAATACGGCCCCTAATATTTAGGGTACCCAAAAAGAGACCATAATTTTGACAACCACCCAAGTGTCCCCCACTTGTATGATCAGATCTGCACGGGATTTCTTCATCCCTGCACTCACTAACAATGTCCCAGACCCGGGTCATCACATTTAGATCGCTTGCTCAGGCGGCTGCCCATCTCCAGGAGAGCTTCGACCTCGCATCAATTTGGGGTTCCTCAAAAACAGGGGGTCCCTTGCTTCGGGAGAGATGGAGGATCCCCTAGCGGCCCCAGCGCTTCCTGCGCACCTCCTGAAGGTTGGCCTTCCGAGATGCTTCCAGAAGCCGCCTGGACAACGTGTTCAGGAGTCTGGAACATCCTCAGACGAAAGTTGACGGGCTTTGCTTGCAGCAGGCAGGCCTCTTGTGGACTTCGTGCAGGTCTCCCAATTCATCTTGGCACCAATCACATCACATTAGCAGGTTCACATGGATGTTGTTGAAAAGTTCTGGTGCCGATGTCGGCTTTCTTGCTCCCGCCTTTGCGCGAGTTTGAACGCGCGTGGGTTTTCAACCCCTCATAAAACCCTAATGCTTCCCTTAGTCTTACTACTACGAGTGGCGGGTGTTTCTGAACGGCCTCCACATCTTGGCGTAACTCAACTACAATCACTACCAGACTGCCAAGTGCAGTTCCCACCCCTCATCTGTCGAAAGCATACCAGCACAAGATTGGAAGTGACAATCAAATGCAACTTGCAACAGAGAGAAAATGAAAGGGTTCGTCAGGTAGTGAAGTTACTTAGCTTCGTCAAACCCCGGCCAAGGTTCCGAACGGCAGCAAAACAAGTTGCAAAGATGCCCAGCTCAAAACCTCTGACATACCGCTCAAGTTTCCTGACCCCGTTTGTACGCTTCGTGACCAAGTTCCCAGCTTAGCTTAATGTCGGCTGTCATCGCCTGGAAGCACGGACAGCTGCGACAACTTCAGCTTGCAGACTGGTGACACGCTATGTCATGCTGCTGCAGAGAGAGCACTGATACAAACCACTGATTTGGACAAAGGGCAAGCAATTAGTCGGCCGCGGTCGCTGCGCAAGCCACGCGCAGGGGTCAACGATTTTGGCAAGTCATGATCAATGACATCCTACTTCCAGCTTCTATCGCCATCTTAGTCTCTCAGGCGTTGCAGATGGTTGTTTTCAGAGCCTGTGCAAGGTGACCACACTTGCTGTCAGATTGAGGTTAAAGACGTTTGACCTGGATGCCCTCAAGTCATTGGAACCTAGGTGCCTCCATGAGGGCTCTGCGACTTGAGGTACTGCTTGAGCCCAGTGGAAGCATGCGAAGCATCTTTCGGAATGTTCCTGAAGTGCCAGCAAGCGCCATCCATCAGCTATGAACCTTCAAAATTTAGATAATTAAGTGGCCTCAATAGCATATGTGTCCTCGACTTGTCTACATGGGCCGAATGTCTCAATGCCAGATTGTTGGCAGAAGGCCTCAGGCGGCCTTTCAGTAGGACTTCCAAGGCCGCCTGGGTTGGTCTCATCGGGTCATGGTAAAATCGACCCGCAAGAAGGGTCATTGAAACAATCCGCGAAGAAACAAGTCAAGCCAAAGTCTTCTGCACAGCGACCCAAGCATGCATGTCCCTTGCAAATATGCACGGATGGAAGTATGTTCTTCGAAGTTCGAAGGGCATGGAGAATTTGCTGGGTCATGCTGCGGGATGCCCCTCCTGCTCCTGACTTCGCATGGAAGAGACGCATGCGGGCTAGTCAGCACGCTCAATGGAACAACCCCAAAATACTGCATAGTAGTGCTGTAGTTCTCTTTTCCATTTATCTCTATATAACCCCAATGCACAATATAGGAGTTCCCATTTTTCCATTATCCCTAAACCCTAGACCCTAAACCCGAAAACCCATTATCGTAGTTTCCATCAGGCTGCAAGGCCGCACATCAGCAAGAGTCCAAAGCCAGGGGCAAGCCAAAGGCCAGAGGGATAATTGAAAAGAAAATGGAAACTACTATAGGGTTTAGGGTTCAGGGTTTAGGGATAATTGAAAAGAAAATGGAAACTACTGTAGGGTTTAGGCTTCAGGGTTTAGGGATATTAGAAAAGAAAATGGAAACTACTATAGGTGTTTTTCAGTGTGTAGGGATAATAGAAATGAAAATGGAAACTACTATAGGTGTTTGTCAGTGTTTAAGGATAATAGAAAAGAAAATGGAAACTACTATAGGTGTTTTTCAGTGTGTAGGGAAAATGGAAAAGAAAATGGAAACTACTATATAGTAACCCTAAACCCTAAACCCTAAACCGCGGCTATATTGGGAGTGCAGAAAAACTCAGCAACCGGCATCCTTCTCAGGATCTGGGGGCAGGTCACCGGTCTTCTCCAGGTCCTACCCACAGAAGCAAAACTGTTCAGGATGTGGGTGGTTGTCAAAAGCATGATCCCTTTCTGGGTACCCTAAATATTAGGTGCCTTATTATAATAGGGATCCCAAAAGGGACCATAATTTATAATTTTGACAACCACCTCTATTGCGTCAAGTTTCGGGGAGACAATTCAGGACAGGTATATGTTTGGGGTACCCTCTTGAATGTCAAGTTTTGCGGCCCAAAATCGTAATTTTGTAGGTTGGAAGACATACTAGTACGAATACTAAAACTAATACGAATACCAATACTACTGATACTTATACCAGTAGGATTCAGCTCGGACCCTCAAACAATCTTAATTCAGGACGCTCGAAATTGTTTGGGGATTGGGGGGGTATCCACTAAAGAGGGGTGCAACATTAAGCGACAGTCTAAACTCCTAGTATCCCCCTTCTCAGCCCCTATAATACTCCTCTATACAATCCCCTATATAACCCCCTTCAAGGACTGTAGGCTATGGCTCATATTGCTGAAGCATCGAACCGCATCTGGCTGTCTGGCCTTCCATTCCTGAGCTTCCAGCAGCTCCTGGCAGAAAGTGCCAAATGGCGGATACAATCTTACCCTACATTGGGGACCACAATATCCCTACTTGACATACTACCGACATAGTCTCCGAAGGCAAGGAAACCACTGAAACCACTCTTTCAACAATCCCAGTACAGACCAATTTTGTAGTCAACGGGTCAAGCGCTCGGCTTTGGGAGGAAGTTGCAAAAGCTCAAGTGTGAGCAAGAAGCATCAATGTACGCACCGGAGTGTAAATTCCTTTGGTCATACATTGAGGCCGCTCGTGGCAGTTGTTGGACTTGGCGGGGCATGCTGACACAATCTGACACCGCAAGCAGACAGTGATTATACGGGGCATCTGGCTTCAACTTGGGGATCACAGAATTTGCATGGAACAAACTTTTTAAAAAAAAAACTAAATGGTCTGACAATGGTCTCACGGCGTGGCAGCTGATCAACAGCATAGAAGCTCGCAACGAGTTCAAAAAGGTTAGTCTTGGCGAGTCCTCCAGCTTTCCACCAATGATGTCTTCATCCAGCGGATCGCACACCAGCAGGGCACGGCCTAGGAAAGCCAAAGCCCAAAGCTGGAAGAATGCCGCAAGATTGTAACATATAGGGGTTATATTAGGGTATGTAGTGGGGTTATATTGGGATAATGGAAAAGAAAATGGAAACTACTATAATATATATATATATAGAGAAGTCGCAGAGTTGAAGATGTCGGTTTAGGAGCGGGCCTTCTGCTGTCAAGGCCTCGCCGGAGGTCCAGCAACATTTGATAACAGACTTGGTAGGATTTCAACAAACATCCTTGATTCAAAGAATTGGAACCTAATGACCCAGGCACTGAAAGCTCGAGTCAAGAATCTCTGAGCAGGGAGCGGCAGACACTTGCTCCAGCCCCTGGATGAGGATCTTCTTCCCCAAGCGCTTCTTAGCCATGAACGCAGGAAACTGCTCTCTCAGCCTTCTGGCCACCCTGAAATCCCTTGTCCGCAGAATTGATTATTGCAACTCCGGCCTGCGAAATGGACCCCACAACACGCCCTCCACTGAGAAGCACGCGGAAGTGCCGGCTGCCACAACAGCAACATGCACATCCTCAGAGATGGATGCATGTGTTGCACAGATGACTGCAGTGAACATCAGTAAGATGACGAGGAAGCTAGGTCAGTTGCTTTCCGTGGAATGACTTTCTCAACATCCTTCTGCCATTGCCTTTTAGGTATTGGGCAATTCCGCTCTGTCAACGGCACTGGGATCTGCCACACTACGCGGGTGTCTTTGGCAACGATAGAATGACCAAAGACTGTAGGAAAATCTGTCAGCTTCTGGACAAAATACGCTCGGCTGACAGCACTGCCAGGAGGCCTTGACCTGCTTTCTTGCGAAAACTCTATGTCAACCCATTCGGCCTGAAGGATGGATTCACGTTGTAGACCTGCAGTTCAGAGACGCTTTACATCTGACATCATCTGACTGCACTTCCATGATGCCACTAGCAGCACATCAGGCCTCACATTGGTTCTTGAACTCGTACTTCAGCACATCACTAACCTAAATTCCGGCTCAGATCAAGTTTCCGCTGCAAGCTATTAAGGTTAGATTGGATAACTTTTCTGGGCCATACCGGGCAACAGTTCCAACCTACTTGAAATATGTTTTCCAAAGTTTCGGGTCCCCAAAATAAACATCAGTACATTGCAATCTTCAGAATTGAGACCCCTAAAAAAGGACCCCTAATTTTGGGCATTCCATGCTCAGTTAACATATAGCACTACGTGCAATGAACTACCCAAAATGTGCACAGCACTTTTTCCGATGCGGTGGGCAAGCATATTCGCGGGCACCAGCCGCCTATGCCAGAACTTCGGGAATGGCCTCCAGGCGCGTGTCCGCCTGTCACCAATTGTGGCGTATGGCCAGGGTGCAATCCTGCCTGGAAATAAGGTCGGAGATGTTCGCCTCGGAGGTGACGCGAAAGAATGTTGGTCGCCACCTCCGCCGTGCTGCCAGCGAACGGAAGGTGGAGAGGATGCCGTTCACACAGGCATCGCGGCCCTAGCCTTGGTTCAAGGCCCGCTGGCCTGCCGAATTGTCGATGAACGCGACCCACGCCTCACCGAGGCGGTCAGCCAGGGTGACAATGGCCAGTATTTGGGCGACTGAGGAAGTCGGTGGCTCTGACGGTCGCGTTGTGGTGGGAGCGAAGAGTGTTTCCAGCTCCGCCAGCGGCCTGGGAGTGCTCACCCACATAGGCGGAGGCAAGCTTTTGCGTAAGGCACAGCCAATTATCCGCCGCATAACGTCCAGCGAAAACAGTGATTGATCCCCTCCGGTCTTGGCCTGATCTCCCCCATCATATCGAAGCCGTCGGTGAGGTTGCCCGGCATGTCAGGGTAACCAGGCAGTCCAGCAAGCGCAGCATGGTCACGAAGAGATACGCCGCGTTAAGGGAAGGCGGTGAGTCACCCTGGTCGATGGCCCCTCGCTCAGTGGACCGTTTGAGCGCGTGTTTGCGCGGGTTCCCGAGCGGGATGTCCCAAGCGGTCAGGTTGGATGGAATGAGAGGCTCATTTGCTGCCCAATCCGCCGGCGTGTGGTGGACGAAGCTCCCGTAACCCATCCCGAGAGACTCCGCTTCCGCCGCGTGACTCCTCCCACGCGGGCGCCACAGTAAAGGCGGACGGCTGTTGATGGTTTATGTTGGGCGCCCACCCTTGTCGTTGGCGAAATGAGTGGCAGCGGTCCTGTGGTGGTGACGGCCTTGCAATACCGCCTTGAACCCAGCGTGGTCTGCGGACGGACCAGGTCAACCAGTAGCTGGCTCTGGGTCCCGGCCAGTGGTGGCGTGGAGGCAGGTTCCGGCCCTTTGAGAAACCTGCAGACTGCCAGAACCCCCTGCCAATGCAGTTCACCCTGGTCACCCTGGTCGCCCGTGCGCTTGTGTGGAATGCCCGCCTGTGAGGCAGTTGGGAGGTTGGCGGTCGTGAGGGCATCATGACCGCCTTGAAGGTGTCTCGGCGTCACCTCATCATGTAGTTGATATCGGTGACCATCGCCCTTGATCTGCGACGCCACCCCGCCTCACCGCCATCTTGTTGGGACGTAAGCTGCGCCTCTGGGATGCCGAGGCTCCGCACCCTGCTGGGGCGCCGGCGAGGAGGGCAAGATAGCGGTGGTAGTAGGCGCGACAATGTTGGCAGCAGGAGGTAGCGCTGGAAAAAAAATGGGGCTGTCGCCAGCGGCTGCCGGCCAAACTAAGCTTGCAGTAGGCGATGGAGCCGGGGGCCCGTGACGGAGATCTCTTCCGCCTGGACGTCGTCGGCGGCATTGTTGATGTTGTCCGGCAGGTCCAGGACAACGTCGGCGTTGTTGACGTTTCCCGCCTCGTTGCGGCGGGTGGCAGTGCTGGCCATGCTCGCCCCGCCAGCTCACCCATGCCCATCGCTTTCGCCCTTAGACGAGGGCGGTGTGTCCATCGAATTGAAGACACGCCTCAGGCGCTTGAACTCCCGCTTTGACAGCTGGGAGAATGCCACTTGGGCAGCTCCTTCGCCTGCACACGCAAGGCGGATCAGCGAGGCGATGGTTGAGGAAGGCGTCGCCGCCGCTGCCATGCTTGCAGGGCGGTGAGGATAGGCAGGAACTTTCAAAAGGCGGTTTGAGCAATCGCCTGCGGTGCGCGCCTGATAGCTCAATGTTACAACGCACACAAGTCTGCCATCATTCTTTTCGATTTGATTCTCCAACATTGAGATAACATCCTTAAATCCCGCTATAATCCCTATGTAGAACCCCTATAGAACCCATTTAAGGCAACTACCTTTCCATGCACTGAACTCAGAGGAGGTGGCTGGTCCGAGGACGACGTAGTCCGTCAGCCTATAGGGGCTCTTCTCCTGAAAGAGAAGAGACTTCACTACTGGTAATAAGAATAATCGTGACAAACGTTAATGGTGATTGTTAGTTTCATATAGTATTAAAAATCAATAATCCTGCGAAGCTGGATTGCCGTGTCTTTTCACAACCAAGCGTTTGATTGGCATGCCGACTGCGAAAGCTCCACTACACTCGGCTAAACGCCATTTGGAGGATGACAGGTACAGGTCCCAAAATGCAAAAGCCACCTTGTCTGTTGGAGCGAGATAGCCAACGTACTGGATGTTTTCCGGCGCCTATGGGAAGCCAATGTGCGTGGCAACTCTTTACTGGCATCAGAGGTTACTGGAGACCCAGACCAGCTGCATCGCAGTGATGGCATTCCGGTTTTGCGGCAGGAACTGGCGGCCAAGCTCACGATCGGTAGGCACTGCGCAGCGAGGCCAATTCCTAACCAGCAGTGGCCTTCTTCAACTCAGATGCCAGGTAGTACTGCCTGGCTACAACCGGGACCACACAAGTGGTGCAACTGCAACCGCTACACTCGTCGTGATCCCTCCAATGCTGGCCAGACATTGCAAAGTTCCAAAACAGCTTTTTACCCGGGCAGCAGCGGCTCGGAGAGCGGCTGCGAAGTTGCCTGCAAACTCTGTACTTTTGGGAGTGCCTCTTTGGGATTCAGTAGAACACTGCTTCTGCACCCTTGTGTCCGAAACTTGCCTTGCCCAATGGGAGCGGTCTCAAACGATGCAAGCAAAACCTGAAAATCGCTTCAGTAATTAAATCTGTCAGTCCTGTTGTGTCAAGGGGTGCCACTGGCTGAGACTGGAACAATGTAGCCGCTATGGCTATAACAAGAACGACGACCTGTTGCGCTGAAGGTACCGCCTCCTGGACATGTAGTTGCTACTGAAGCTTGAAGCACGAAATCAAGTCATGAAGCTGAGGAGGAGGCCTTGGCGGCAAGCGCAGCAAACAGCGTAGGGTCGTCCAATTTGGCAGAGACTCTCCCCTGAATGAAACTGACAATCCTGGCATCTCTGCAAAGTCAGCACCAGGAGGGAAATACGCTCTGCACACACCATGAAGAAAGCTGGTATGCTCTCAACACAAGCAAACGGGGCCGAATAATTGTTTGGACGAGCGGCTTCTGGATTTTGGGTGTCATTGGTCCGTAGTGAATGCTTGACAACCTTCAGGCCACACTTTTCAATACATGTTATGATGTTCTTTGCAGGTCTGTGTCGCCAGTGCCAGTGCCCCGGCACCGCCAAAACTGCGTTTTGTGAAAGCATGCGGCTGTCGCCAAGTTCCTGGCCAAACAATCCGGTCCGCCGAATAGCCATCTTCATAGACCTGCGCTGGTGATAAGCATACCAGTTGTCCCATGTGTGCCTGCACCAGCAAGGGGATCTCTTTGTCTAGTACTCTTTGCTGCCCTGCAGATTACGTCTTTCGCTCTCTCTTAGCATACAGGGTTAACGTGTTGACGCACTCTGGCCTGAGATGCATTCAGGTCGTTGTCGAAAGCTTCTTGAGCAGACTCATGCCGTGTGGGCTTCTGGCAATCACCTGAACTGAAGAGAACTTGAAATGATCTGACCGGTTTTCTGCCCATTGTCACTTTGAGACAAAACTTCAAGACAAGCCACGATAATAATCAGCCGCATCAAGTTTGCCATGGTTGTTGGCGAGCGAATGCCAGAAAATTGCTCCAATCTCGTAGCGCCGTGACAAGTCAGACTCGGTAAGACCCGGTATGTGGATGCGCTTGCCTGTCTCGTCCAATATCCTGCAACAAGCAACTTTGGTGAGGGATCACCACAACAACGCAAAGATTGCAAGCATGCTCCAACCAACAATCAAAACTAGCCCTAAACCCCAAACAGTAGTTAACATCTTCTCCTCCATTCTCCGTACATAACCCCAAGACACTTCCATTCTATTTTCCATTATCCCAATATAGCCCCAATATACTATGTAGTAGTTTCCATTTTATTTTCCATTATCCCAATATAACCCCAAAATACTATGTAGTAGTTTCCATTTTATTTTCCATTATCCGAATATAACCCTAATTTTACCCCAACGGGTGATGCCACACACCCACCCTGCAAAGGCCCTGCCCTGGGTCCTCGACCATCCAATGGGAGCCCAGGAGGCCAAAGGCCTGTGCAGCAGTTCACCCATTGGGGGAATATTCGCCTCCAATATACTATAAGGTTTAGGGTTTAGGGTATATAGGGATAATGGAAAAGAAAATGGAAACTACCATAATAGGGTTATATAGGTTTATTCTGCTCAGGACTCTGGATCTCAAGCGCGGCATGAAGATATAAGATGTCACAGAGCAATGGAACAGGCAAAGAACGCGGCAGATTGTTGATGGTGTACTCCAGACACATACTTCCATTGGTCATGCCTTTTCTTGAACGATTCTCTCTCACCCTTGAACAGTTGCTGAAGCGCTGCTGACACACGTTCTCGCCGGCAGATTTGCTCTACAGCAATCAATGGCGCCACACTACGAAAGACCCCGCACTACAGCTCCCTTTCCGGAAAGATACAGACCAATGCCCTACTCCTACTGCTCTCTTCGAAGCGCCCCCATCATATCGCGTCAGGGCGTGTTGCGTCACCATAGCACGGCTAATAAAACCTCAAGTGCCTGGAATAAGTGCGGCCGTCAAGAGCATCTCGGTCAGTCATTAGCACCTTACCCACAGGCTGCTTGGAATCCTACATTGCCAGCTCAGATGACGTGCTGCATGTTTCAACTCTTATTTGCCCGTTGTCTTGCTGACATCGCACAAGCAGCTTCGGGAAAGGGCTCACAGCTCATTGGGACTCGGTAAAAAAGCGGCGAGTTCTAGGGCTGTTGGGATCGCAATTAATTTCCCTCCAAGCCAATTATGCATGCAGACCTGGTCTGCCTGCCATGATTTTCGGGTTTGGGGCTGGATACGATGTTCACTTGGCTATGTACGTTTCTAGCATCCCAAGCCCATGAGTCCTGAACCACTACGGCACGGGTTACTACAAAAAGCAGCAAGCCTGAGATAACGAAGCTACATCGTCAAAACCCCAATCTGCACACTGAAGTTGTAATTTTTGGGAAGCCCATGTTCTTAGCAAGCGCATGATCCACAACTCTTGGAGCAAAGGTACTGATAGGCCCTGCCCAAGCATTGCCGGAAAAGAATTTCTTTCCCACACTTACCTCCAACAACCTGGCAACTTGGCTGCCCTCTTTATTCCAGCGGCGCCTATGAAACATGGGCAAACTGACTTGCCTGAATGTTGCGTGCTGTTTTCCCCCGTTTCTCATCCTCGTGATGGCGCACCCTCCCAGCACATGTTCTCAGGCTGCTGCCATTTTTTTTCGGGTGTTTTATGATGGCTTTTGGCTGGCACCAAGAGGCGTCAAACTAAAAATGACCACATCTGGCCCAAACCCATGATTCTGGGCCCGAGAGCCTGTAGTCTGCAAAGGCCGAAACCTATCGAAAGACGAGGCAACAGAAGTGCCTACCTGCGAACGCAGCTCACGGCTCTTTTCCTGCAGAACCCAAGTCCCTGCGGTCTAACACGCTCATGCACTGATGACGAACCTCACATGCTCCCACGGAATGGCTCCCTTGCATCACCAAAACATCCCTGAGGTTCTTCAATGGAGCCGCGTCCACATCGGGCTCTACATTTTCCTCGAATCACGGAGGATTATGCTTCATGCTGTATTGACTTGGGCAGCAAGGTTTCTTGGAAGAATGGCTTTATGAACCTTCCTACCAGCAGTAAAATTTTCGTCATGAACCACACTCCAACATTGACGATTCAGCAGAAAGTTCAGAAAAAACTTCTTGGCATTCGCCTTGGTCATGCCATCGGCTAACATGGCCATCCCGTTCACCCGACGTAACTGGGTCCCAAGACGGAGTGCCTGTTGTACTGCAATAGTCAGTTCAAGACCAGCCCGAGATGATCGAAGCCCATGAAGGGATGACAGATTTCTGGTCATTTCGTCGTAGACTCCACGCGAATCTGTTACTAACCCTCCATATGTGTGCTTAGCAATCTCGGATTCAATGCCATGCCTTCCAATCGTGCCTCCATGGATCTCGCACCACCACGTCCTCGCCGACTGTGATCGCTTGAACCTCAGCACCATTGCTTCCCAAACCCTCATGTGGTGCTTTCGAAGACTTCCACGCTACAACTGCAACGCTTTCTTCATAACCATGAAGGATACCTACTGGAGCATACCCACCGAAGTAGCCAACTGTGCGTCACTCCAGACGATTTTGGCAGTCTCTTGCCATGGCTTCCTGCACGCAGGGAACCATATTGCCTGCGATGCCTCTTTGCAAACTTCACGCAAAAGTTTATTCACAGCAAGGAGAGTATTCACAGTTGCTTTCGGAACTTCAGACAACATATTGGAAATCTCAGCTTGATAGTGTGGGCCGGTTTGCGAAGCTTTCCATGCTAATGTCCCTAGAGCTGCACGAAGCGATGAAATCTCAGACGCGTTCAGCGCTGCCTTCTCCTGAGAAGCCCGCTTCTTCTCTGTATGGATCTCTTGGACCCACTGTGTAGCGTAGGTCTCCTGGTCCGCATAGATGCCATCGGCAGTCTGACGTAGTCTGCAGCCTGAAAAGTCGAAAACTTTTTTCTCCCACTTGCCCCATCGGAAGTGGCTTTGAAGAGAACTCTTAGAGCGCTCATATGTTGGATCTCCTTGATGTCCTCCCAGCAGGAAGTTGTCTACTTGAATTCCTGAGATCGCTACTAATTCTCCTTCAACACGGATTGCTTCCAACCATCATGTACAAGAAAATCAACCACGGAATCGTACCACCTTCGTGGCGCACGCAGTTTGAGAACTGTCCCTTCCTCAGGAGGGGCTCCAAAAGCTGCGGCAAGTTCTGCAGGGGCCCAGACCAATAGGTCCTCCTGCTCCAAACTGCCAATTGTCTGTAAAGATGCTGAAGTCGCGTCTTTGGATTCCAGTCCGAAGCCATGATTGGCCACACAGGATAAAAGCGCGTGTCTCCCAACACGGCTCAAGGTTGGCGCCGCAGTCTCGACCTCGGTCAAGTTGTGCCCTTGGTAGCCCAGAACAACCAGGCGAGCCCTAGCTTTGCCTGAGGCCTTCCAGGTTAACACCCACCTTGCGGGGATCCATGCCTTGAAGTTCCTGTTTAGACAGCGCACGAACAGCTGCACTTGACAGAACGTTTGACAACTCAATTGCCTGCGCTTCGTCGTACTCTTTCTTCTGATCAGATCTAATGTCAAAGATTTTCAGCTCACTTCTTTGGATTTCTCAGCCATCTTCTGATTCATCCAACTGGCTGCCTTCCTGAGCGTCGAAATGAACTTGTCAAGGTCCTTTTCCTTGACATCGATCTCACACACCAGCATCAAGTCTTTGGAAGCATATCGCGGAAGGTCGGCCTGCGCCTTGCGCTTACGTTCTGGAGGTTTAGATTCATCAGCGATGAGCTCCTCGTCACTGCTACTTGACGACGATGATTCAGATGAGCTTTCATACACAGCCGACTTCACAGCCTCCTCCTCTAAGCCCTCAGGAAGCGGAACTGTTGCTGCTTGCTTTCCGGGGGTGCTTGGGATAGCTGATGGCTGATGGAGTTGCCGGCGTCGGTGTAGTTACTGGCAGTTGGGATGAAGAAGCCGCCCCAGTCGAAGTCGAAGGCAGTTCCTCAGACTTGGTCTTGTCATCTTTCTTGAGTTTCATCTCAAACTGAGTCTCTCGAGACCGCCACTCAAGAAGTCCGCGACTCGGTCGCTCCACTTTGCGATAATTGTCCTCAATCACCTGGTTGCCTCCAGGTACTTGAACAACGGTCTTCCGCCGTCCAGTCAACTGGCTTTATTTGACTGGACACTCTTGTCCAGGGTGAACAATGTCAATCTCGGGGTCCCATGGGTCCACAAAGCGTCGACCCTTGTAGCCCTTCCTTCAGGAGTGTATCGAGGCCGCCAACAGGGTTGCGAACGACGGATACTCCCTTCACCAGTTGCTCTCTCTGCGCACGGTCGAACTTGATTCGTCTGAGCACGGACCAAGGTCGCTCCTGTAGCCAGCCACACCGTCGATCCTTCTTGCAGAAGCACACGAAGAGGTCCTGTCCATCCGCCGCGTCCTTGACGCAGTCGCTGGCGCCACAACATTGCAAGATCTCCGGGATTGAATGTTTGGCTCTTGCGGGCATTGGCGTTTCCAAGACGCGACGGCTTTTCAGCTGCATCAGCTCTCTTGAAAGCAAGCGCGATGGCTAAGGTTCTGCTTTCTAGCATCAATGCTGTCGGGAAGCTCATGCTCACCAGAGCGTCCCCTGGTCCATTGGAAGGGCGCGCATACCCTGTGTGCCCATGAATCGAGGAATTGTGACCATGAGTGGCCAAATGAGCCAACTCATCGATCTCCAGACCTAACTCCTCCTTCTCGAGCTTAGCCATGGCCCTCTTAAGCGTCTGAACGCACCGCTCTTCAACCCCAAGAAGCCAATGAGCCTCAGCTGGCGCTACGACAAGTCCAACACTTGACAGTCCAAGGAAAACTCAGAGAATTCAGACGAAGTGAAGTAGCGCACCGCATCAATGAGGATCCAAACGGAAGCTGGACTCACGCTCATCCAGCCCTGTGATCGCCTTGCGGATGTCGCCTGAGGTGGGTGGGTTCCTACGCCTCTTTCCCAGGATAAATCATCAACAGACGCACCACGCAGAATCGGGATGCCCTGTCCAGCATCTGGAGGAACTTCGCTTTCATGCCTTCGTTGGAAGTGCGGCTCATGTGTTCATACTCCAAACAGTCTAAACCTAACATCTCCCATAAACGCGGCGGCTACTCTACAGAACTTGGGGGAACAAGACCAACTCTCTTCTCTTCACTACATTCAGGACACTTCAGCTCTTTGACTAAACTCACTGCCCAGTCAGGCGTGCCTCGGCGCTCCAACAATCTAGCTAAATTGTCAAAGCTGCCATAACCAGACGCTTTGCGCAATTTCATCATCTGATTCTTGATTTCTTCAAGTCTCTTCCCCGTGGGTTTCTCCACAGGAAAGCTAGCCCTATGCAAAGACATCACGTCTCTTGCACAGCCAGGCTCACTTGTGTTGGCACCCTGGTCATCGACAGAGTGGCCGCCATTGCCCTTCGCGAAGTCGAGCACATCATCCCTTAAGGATGGGTATTGGCATCGCATCTCCCATCCAACAGCATCAGCAATGTCCTCAGCAAGCTTTTGAGGACACGCAACTCGATTCTGAGCCACAGAATGATCCTTTTGGCCCGGGCATTTGCGGCGCTCAAGCCCCTGGTAGAGCTCCTTGCTCTTCGCGAGGATCTTCCACGCATGATGGCACGGCTCCTTTTCCTCACGCGAACAGTGGCAGGAGTCCACCAAGCACTCATAAAGGTTCATGTCATGCTCCTTGGCAGTCTCCCGAATGCGTTCAATCGCTTTGCTGTTCCACCCAAAACGGGCGCTGGCATCCCATTGCCAGGCTGAAAGTTTTAGACCAAATCTTAAGGTCCACTCGGATCCTATCTTACCCCACTCCGACCTAAC